TTTAGGGTTAGGTTAAGGGTTAGGTTTAGGGTTAGGTTAAGGGTTAGGTTTAGGGTTAGGTTTCGGATTAGGTTTAGGGGGGTTAGGTTTAGGTTTAGGGGTTAATTTTAGGTTTAGGGTTTACAGCATGCTTCTGTCTCTGCGCTGTTGTCGCCCTGTTGATGACGTCAGCGACGCGGTTTAGTCGGGCGCGGTTTAGTCGAGCGCAGTTTTGTCGGTGAACTGGCCAACTCACAGGTAAAAGAAAACTTTGAATTTGGACAAAAAGGGTCCTGGAGCTGAATTAGCGGCTAATTGGCATTTGGGAAATTTCACGGAAGAAGGAGAATAAAGGGGAGGCTAAAATTAATAAGAAGTGGAATCTTTGAGAGGCCAAGAGAAAATGTTTAATGAGAAGGAAGGGAAATAAGGTACATATTAGTAAGGAATTGTATTAATATTATTAATGGTGGATAGCTAACTAAGATGTAAGGGAATTATACCAATATCATTAATTGTGGATAATTAATTAAGTTAAATGTTCTTTATGTAAAAAATTGATTTTGATGATGTATGTTGCTTACAGTAAAACAGACCAGCAGTTGAAATGTGAAATAGCAATTTGGTTTAACTTTGAAGATAATTTAAATTAAGAGACGAAGACGAAATGTTAAAGAGTGGGATGGGGAATTTGAGAAATATATTTAGTGATGGAGTTGATGTTATTGTAAGAGATTAGAAATTAATGGCAATTAATGATATTGTTTATGTACTAAGAAGAAAATAAGTTTCAGATAAAAAATATGGAAAGAGAATAATATGGATGAAATTGGAAACAGAGATATGATGTAAAATGGATTATGTATATGAGAGGATGTAAAAGACAAGACCCGAACAACACTTTCTTTATAAAATATGTAAAAATTTGTAATAAAAATTAAAAAAACTAAAACAAAAAACAAAAAAAACCCATGCACATACAAGGCTATGTTTAAAATACAAAATTCACAAAATACAAAGCAGGTTAAAGTTAGGATTTTAAGAAAGCATGATGGGGAAAAATCCATCTACTTACAGACAGCAAGATCTTTAAGCATATCTATACCATTACCTTTTGAGAGAATAAAAAAAAGCAGCACATAATGACTACTAGGTAAAGGTTCCCCTCTCCCATATATGCTAGTCATTCCTGACTCTAGGGGGCGGTGCTCATCTCCATTTCAAAGCTGAAGAGCCAGCACTGTCCAAAGATGTCTCCGTGGCCATGTGGCTGGCATGACTAAATGCCGAAGGCGCAGGGAACGCTGTTACCTTCCCACCAAAGGTGGCTCCTATTTTTCTACTTGCATTTTTACATGCTTTCGAACTGCTAGGTGGGCAGAAGCTGGGACAAGTAACAGGAGCTCACTCTGTTATGCGGCACTAGGGATTCGAACTGCCAAACTGCAAACTTTTCTGATTGACAAGCTCAGTGTCTTAGCCACTGAGCCACTGTGCCCCTAATGATTACTAGATCCTGGATTGTTACTCAGTGGAAATACACATATTTATGCAGAATAAAGAAAGCATAATGTGAGTTACTTATCAAATCAAAACAAGTAATTGTTCCAAAGTATTTACTCTAGAAATATAAAGATCTGACCTATGTGAACATGGTCCAGTACCCTATAATGCTTCTGAATGGAAGGTTATTAAATTCTACATAATACAAAAATAGAAAGGGGGAAAAGAGAACATGCACAGATTCATGATGCGCACTGAGATTTGGGGAGTTTGGGATAGAAAGAGTATTATCTGTAACTGAAAATTATCTCCACTGCAGGTACATTATCACAATGCTCCTCTTTGATCTGCTAGCATGATTGCTGCCTAAAGCCATAACAGAGCTTTATGAACACTGCAGGATTCAGTTCCAAAACATAAACTGAATGCAGCAGTAGGAGACAGAAGATCCGGTAGCAATATATCCTGTCATCATTACTGCAGGCTGCCTAATAGGTGATTAACGCAGAGAAGCAATGTTTCAATCTTACCATTATTTGGAATGACATGCGAAATAAACCGATTGAGTGTCTTACCCACAACAACTTGTTTCCTGGAAACCAGGCTTGTGCTAAATGTTGATGATCAAGTATTCTNAAAAAAAAAACATGTAGGCAGCTGGACCAGATGAACAAATGAACTCCACAGAAAGACTAAGTTTACTGAGATTGGCTACAATAACAGAAAAACAGAATAAGCCTGATTATCTCCTTACATTTCAATGAATTAGGGAGATACCGTCTAAGCCACTTCCAAACTTTATCTGGACATTCTCAACTTTAAAAATGTTTTATCCCTCAGCCTGCATATTTCCATCAAGGTACTTTTTCCTTATAGCAATAGCACTTGGACTTACATACTGCTTTATAATGCTTTTACAGCCCTCTCTAAGCAGTTTATAGAATCAGCCTCTTGCCTCAAACAATCTGAGTCCTCATTTTTACCCATCTTGGAAGGATGGAAGGCTGAGTCAACCTTGACCCTGATGAGATTTGAACTGCAGCTAGCAGTCAGCTGAAGTAGCCTGCAGTACTGCACTTTAACCACTGCGCCACCTCGGCTCTTATTCTCTTCACATACCTTGATTGCTACCGGATAGATGGTGGCACCTATTTCAAAGCTCCCCTTTTTGAACATCATAACGGAGGTGTTGTTTATGCAGGTGCCTGGACAGAAGAGAAAGAGAGAGATAAACAGGTGCTTCCTATCAAGATATATGTAAACAGTTAATAGCGTGATCTGAGACCCAGTTTCTCTCCAGATTCTGCATCATGCAGAAAGGAGTTCAAACAAACCGAAATTCAGTTTTTGTTCAAATATTCATGACTGGGACAGACATGGGAACAAGGTCCCAGTCATGAATAGCATAGCAACTAGGTCAGCCAATGGGAGCTTAAACAGGTCTGAGTGTGCAAAGAATTGAAACAGAAACTTAAGCAGTCTGCTGCTCTGAGAAGTAAACTAGCAGTCTCTCTGGGCTTGTCTGCTGAAGTGAAGCTAGCTGCTTGTGTTTGCCTGTAACTCGCCTGCCTTGTGTTTTACTTGGAAGAACCACCTGTTGGTATAGTACATTTATTCATCTATTCTTATGTATATAAAAGAAGTTAATGAATCTAGTTGAATCAGTTATCTATGTGGGCTTTCTGCATTTGATTTTTCTGCAACAAACTCTGAGAGTTTTCCTCTAGACCACTACAATGTGGAGGAGAAAGAGGGAGGAAGGAGGTTGCATGCATTTGTATCCCACTCCTAGTCTGAAGTTCTCCATACCTCTACATGAACTTCTAAACTGAACTCATGCTAACCTGCCAACATCTAAGTTTCCAAGTTTTAGTATTTATTTTTTTTTTTTAGTATTTTATTAGGATTTATAGGCCGCCCTTTT